AAACTTTTTTTTTTTTTGGCAGAACCAGGGATTGAACTCAGGCCCTTGTGCTTGCCATGGAAGCGCTCATTCCACTGAGCCATCTCCCTGGCCCCTGGCCTCAAACTTTAATATCCTCCTACCTCAGCTTCCTGAGCACTGAGATGACAGGTGTGCCCTACAACACTGGGCAAGACATGTTCTCCTGACAGAATTTGACCTGGTCAGGAGACAGAGAATTGACAAATAGATAAGAAATTATAAATGTAATGTGATACTTGGCTGTTGGGTTTTTTTTGTGGGGGAGGATATTGGGGTTGAACCAAGGTTTTCCCACATGCTAGACAAATTATCTGCTACAGAACTATATTCCCAGGCTATGCCATGACATAATGCCTGTAATTCCAGGACTCCAGCCTGGGGCAGGAAGATTGCCTGGATCTCAAGGCTAACCTGAACTATATATATAGTAAGATTCTTGTCTCAAAAAAGGGGCTGTCTTATCAATAAAATTATGGGGGGAAAAGGGGGGGCTGGAGATGTGGCTCAGTGGTAGAGTTCTTAACCTTGTGTGCACAAGGCCCTAGGTTCGACCCTGAGCACAAAAAAAAAAAGGCAAAACACACAAAAGTATCTGTATCTTAGATCTTATAAAAGAACAGTAGGTGTTGTTTTGTTTTTTTGGCAGAACTGGGGATTGAACTCAGGCCCTTGTGATTCCCAAGCAAGCGCTTATTCTACTGAGCTGTTTCCCCGGCCCAAGAACAGTAGGTTTTGTGTATTACTATCAGGAAAGATCTTTTTTTTTTTTTAATTTATGTGTGTGTGTGTGTGGCCAGCTCAGCCCACCAGGGGTCAGGACTGGCTGGCATGTGGTGCTGGGGGATTGAACCGCAGTCCCAGTGCTTTGCTAAGCTTGTTCTAAGTAGGTGCTTTAGACCACTGAGCCATCTCACCAGCCCAGGAAAGATCTTGCAGAGGAGACCAAGATGAACATAGAGAAACAAACATTTAAACTTGAGCATTATGAGCAAATGTGTAAAGATATAGAAACAGGATACCATCTTGAGCCAGCTACTCTGGGAGGCTGAGTCAGAAGGATCATAAATTCAAGCCAAAAATAAAGTTGGGAATATAGCTCATCCCTGGGTCCAATACCCACTGGGTGGGGAGGGGGAGGTTAGACTGTCCTGTCTGGAGTCTGGATTGGTCAGCTTCTAGATGAACATTGTGGGCAGCGTGGTCTCAGAAGTGACTAGAGAAAGTAGTCTGGAAAGATAGACAGGATTTTAGTTCACATTTAGGTCATAGAAAATAAAAGTAATTTTAGTGTTGAAAGACTTTCTTTTTGGTTCTGGTGAACAAACCTAGTACCACACACATGCTAGGCAAGAGCTGTATACCACAGGACTCCATCCTTTTATGTTTTTTTTTTTTTTGTTTGCCGAACTGGGGATTGAACTCGGGTCCTTGCGCTTGCCGGGGAAGCGCTTATTCCACTGAGCCATCTCCCTGGCCCCCTTTTTTTTTTGCGGAACCGGGGATTGAACTCAGGCCCTTGCGCTTGCCAGGGAAGCGCTTATTCCACTGAGCCATCTCCCTAGACCAATCCTTTTATGTTTTGTTGAAGGGTTTACATTCTTTTTTTTTTTTTTCAAAACAGGGTCTTACCAAGTAGTTTAGGCTGGCCTTGAATTCACCGTGTAGCTCAGGCTGGCCTCAAACTTGGAGGGATCTTGCTGCCTCAGCTTCCTGAGTGCTGTGATTGCTGATTGCATGTACTACCACACCCTGCAATTCGTAAAAATTTATTAAAGTGGGGGCTGGTGAGATGGCTCAGTGGTCTAAAGCACCTACTTAGAACAAGCTAAGCAAAGCACAGGGACCGCGGTTCAATCCCCCAGCACCACATGCCAGTCAGCCCCGCCCCCTGGTGGGCTGAGCTGGCCACACACACACACACACACACAAATAAAAACAAAAATAAAAATTAAAAAAAAATTTATTAAAGTAATTAAAATTTTGGGGATTGTGTTTTAGTATTTAGTTCAGGCTGCCAGGCTTGAATTCTGAGAGATCCTTCTGCCTCCGCCTCCTGAATGCTGGGATTACAGGTGTGTGCCATTATACCCAGCTGGTTGAAGGATTTTAACTTGGAGTAAGTCACAGTAGATGATCTGGAATAGAATTTAGATTTGGAGCACAGCATAGAGAACCTAGAAGGGAAGGCTGTATTAAGTAGTTGGGCCTAGAGATGGGCCTGAAATAGGGCTGGGGAAAGAAGGTCAATCAAGTCTGTGGCTTGTTGTGACATCTTGACTGTCTACCATCCTTAGACTTATCAGGGTCCACTTGTCAGTGGGTCATGTTATTAAGTTATGTGACTTGGACGTGAGAACAGACATAGGTACACATTTTGTTAACTCCCAGGGTCTATTGGAACATAATCTGGGTTACACTGAGGGGAAACTAAAGCTGTAGTCTAGTCTGTTACCTTATGTTTCCAAAGATTTAAGCAATTAGTAAAATGAGTAAGAATGGTATACACTGACAGACATTTCTAGATTCCTAGCATTTACTTTTTTCTGTTCTTCTTTTTTTTTTTTTTTTTTTTTTAAGGACTGGGGATTGAACTCGGGCCCTTGTGCTTGCCAAGGAAGCTTAATCCACTGAACCATCTCCCTGGCTGGCCCCTTTACTTTCGTACACATCCTTTTTAGCTTCAAATTAGGGGCAGAGTACATTCTTACCATGAGATGTGGAAATGGATCCTGAAGTGTCCGAGGCTTCCTCACTGGTAGTCAATAATTTGTACACTCAGAAGTTGTTTTAAGCTGGGCATGGTGGCACATGCTGTAATCATAGCACTCAGGAGGCTGAGGCAGGACAGTCCTGAGTTGGAGACCAGCTTGTGTTCCATGAGTGAATTTAAGGCCAGCCTGGAGGTATGTAAGGAGACCCTGTCTCCAAAAAAGCCAGACAAACACAAGTTGTCATATTTCCTTCCTACCTTTCCTATTTGACACAAAATAGTAAGCAGTCACTTTGTTCAGGAAGATACACTGTTTACCTTTTGTAGCTATTTTGCAGCTAGGTGGGGTAAATTTACTCAGAACTCCTACAGGATATGAATCATTTGCTTTCATAGATTGACCTGTTCTCACTTTGTTCTGAGTAGAGCTTTAATACAGCTTATATTACATGACATAGGAAATAATGTCATCATTTATATTTTCAGTGTCATCCTCAGTTTTCAGAATCTGTGATAAAGTGGAGAACTTGAATTATGGATAAACACCTAGTACAAACAAGAACAAATCCATGCAAACCTTATCAGCCATTCGTATAAATAAACAGGTTTTTGTTTTGGGGAATGAAAATGGTATAGGAGACAGCAAAGCACAGAAGACAATACTGTGGCTACAATTGTTAATCTTTTCCTGTCTATTTTTTGCAGAACCGGGGATTGAACTCAGGCCCTTGCACTTCCAGGGAAGCGCTTAGTCTACTGAGCCATCTCCCCAGCCCCTACTCTCTTTAAAAATTGTGAAACTTTCAAAACTTTTTTTTTTTTTTGGCGGAACTGGGGATTGAACTCAGGGCCTTGCACTTGCCAGGCAAGCACTCATTCTACTGAGCCATCTCCCCGGCCCCAAAACTTTCTACTTGTTTCTTTAAATTATTTTCCTAGGAGCCAGGGAGATGATTCAGTAGAATAAGTGCATCCCTGGCAAGCGTAAAGGTCTGAGTTCAATCCCTGGTTCTGCACAAAAAAAAAAAAAAAAAAAAATTCCTAAAATATTTTGTCTTAAAAAAAGTGACTACTTGATAAGGCAACTGAGCATTTAGTTGGCCTTTACAATTAACCGGAAAGGCCAGGCATAGTGGTGCACGCCTGCAATCCCAGCACTCAGGAGGCTGAGGCAGGAGGAACACTTGGGTTTACTGGCCATCTGGACTACAAAGTGAGACCTTGTTCCCTCCACACACAAAGAATAAATTAAGAAGAGTAATAGTAAGTATGTTTATGGAAAATAAAGGATTATTACAAGTAATGATGATGTCAGTGCTGAGAATTAATTAATTATTGATTGATTGTACTGAGACCTTATGCTTGCCAGACAGATGCTGTGCCGCTAAGCTATATCCCTGGCCCAATGCTAAGAAATTTTGTTGCATATCTCTATACCAAGAGTATATGGGAGAGTACTGTATTAATATGGGATAGGCAGTATGCTTGGGTTTTGAATGTTGTCAAGAAATAAAGATAGGCCAGGGAGTTAGCTTAGCAGCATGGTGCCTGCCTGACAAGCGCAAGGTCCCCGAGTTTTGGTTGTGTGTGTGTGTGTTACTGGGGATTGAACTCAGGACCTTGTGGTTGCCAGGCAAGTGCTTTTCTACTGAGCTATCTCCCCAGCCCAAGGTCCTGAGTTCTATCCCCAGTACAAAAAAAGAAAGAAAGAAAAGAAAGCACTGAAAACTAGAATTGGGGAAAAAAGAAACATGAAAAGATAAACTCTCAGCAGAAGACAACCACAAGCCCATCTCTGGCTATTATCTCTCAAGCTGTAGTCAGATCAGCTTCACTGGAAATTAATATGAAAAAGTATACTTGCTTTAGTATTTGCAGTAGCTCTGTATTTTATAAGTGTTCTGTACTTTCATGTAAACAAATTCTGATCTCTAAATATAGCAAACCATTGAAAGGAAATAAGTTTTATACCTTGTTATTTACGAAATTAGATGTGGCAAACCACTGCTAAGGCAAGTTAAACTGAATCAGTGCTAGGAATTCAAGTTAAATATGGCATTTACCCCCCCTTTATTTCAGTAAATAAGCTGTTTTTGGAATATCAAAAAGAAATTTACTTCTCACAAAATTGGTTAGACTTACTCTGTGTGTGTTCTTTGCATTGCATATGGTAGCGGGGTGGTGCCAAACAGCATTCACCCTGATGAATAATATCTCTGAGTTAGATGGCTCTTACGTTACTGGTATGTTTTCCTGTTTCCTTACTCAGTTATGCTGTAATTGCCTATGGCTGTGCCAGCTGCCCAAAGCTAACCTGTGAGAGGGAAGGCTGCCAGACTGAGTTCTGCTACCACTGCAAACAGATATGGCATCCAAATCAGACCTGCGATATGGCCCGTCAGCAGCGGGCACAGACACTGCGAGTTCGGACCAAACACACTTCAGGTCTCAGTTATGGGCAAGAATCTGGACCAGGTATAACTTGGCATTATCTTGTCTCTTTATTTGGTATTCCATAATGTGAGCCCAAAGTTGGAAGAGATTACCTTTTGTATGACTTTAGTATTCTTTCAGTCAGAGAACAGAAAATATTTGGTTCTACTTTTTTTAATGCAGTGCTGGGGGGATTGAACCCATATATTCTACCTGTGAGTTATATCAACAGTTGTTTTGTTTTTGTTCTTGTTGACATGGGATGTCATCCTCCTGTCCTCAGACTCCTGGGTTCAAGCAGTCCTCCTGCCTCAGATTCTTGAAAGCTGGATTACAGGCATGCTAGTGTGCCCAGCTTAGTTACACTTCGCTCTTGGAGAGGATGTGTTGAGACGGGGTCTTACTGTCTAGTTCATGCTGGCCTCAAACTCGGTGATTCTCTTGGCTCAGACCCCCAAGTACTGGATTTATAGACATGTACCACCATGACCACTATGGTTGTACTTTTTTTTGCTCTTTTTTTTTTTTTCAAAGTTTTATTGATAAACAGATAGCAATGAGACAGTTTCAAATCAAATTGGAAGTAGAGTTTCAACAAATAATACACTGCATATATTCTTAGTGGTTAATTGCTGTACAAGATGCAGACTTTTTGCTCCTCTTGACTTCAGGGCAGGTTTGACTGGCTTGAGTTGTGGGGATGGAACCACAGCAACCTGAGCCTGACTGCTTTGTCGAAGCAGCCACTTAAAGAACTGAGCTAAGGGGCAGGCCCCCCAGTGGTTGTACTTTTAATAATGTATTTGATATATAGTTTTCCTCTTTGACCATTATAAGGTATCCTAGCCACATAAAATTGAAATAAAACAAAATTGGATTCTCAAGTTTCTTTTTTTTTTTTAAATCTTTATTTTTTAAAATTTATTTATTTAGTGTGTGGTCAACTCAGCCCACCAGGGGGCGGGGCTGGCTGGCATGTGGTGCTGGGGGATTGAACCGCGGTCCTTGTGCTTTGCTAAGCTTGTTCTAAGTAGGTGCTTTAGACCACTGAGCCATCTCACCAGCCCAGGAGTTTTAAATAATTAATAACTCTATACTGTTTGCTTTCTCCCTTAAAGTACATCAGTGGGGGCTGGTGAGATGGCTCAGTGGTCTAAAGCACCTCCTTAGAACAAGCTAAGCTAAGCAAAAGCAGAGACTGCGCGGTTCAATCCCCAGCACCACATGCCAGCCAGCGCCACCCCCTGGTGGGCTGAGCTGGCCACACACACACTAAATAAATAAATAAATAAATAAATAAAAAAAATTAGAAAAAAAATTTAAAGTACATCAGTGGTTTTTGACGTATAGATTTTAGAAAAGGAAATACCAGTAGAGATTAATGATTAACATTAAAAAGAGGCTGCCACACATTCAGTTCCAGCCTTCAGTTAGAGTAATCCTGTTTTTAAAATGTCAGTGGATTTGTTGCCTTTTATGATGTGCCTTAATTTCCCTGATGTCATCTGAGAAAGTCTATTAGGAAAGATTTTGCCATCAGTTTTCCTGGTGCAGCATAATCTCCTAAATTATCATTCTAATAGTATAGCTTCTAGCTTGCTGTGAAAATTACCAGGTACACCCTGCATAGCATACCCAGTTGTTTCAACATTTTAAATTTAAAGCCATCATGAGAAGAAACAGTGGTGCACACCTGTAATTCCAGCACTTTGGGGAGGCTAAGGCAGAAAGATCAAAAGTTCAAGCTTACCTAGGCAACTTAGTGAAACTCTGTATCAAAATTAAAAGAGATATATGGTGTAGTACAAAGGCCCTGGGTCAGTCCCCAGTAACTGTGAGGAGGTAACAGGTTGGGGAGAGTATGATGGGAACAGACTGTGGGTTAAATTAATAGCAAGTCTCAGAAAAGTTAGTGTACTGAACTAACAGTTATCAAAATTTAGTGCCAAGCTGGGTGTGGTGGTGTACATCCATAATCTCAGTTTATTCAAGAAGCTGAGGCAGAAGGCCCACAAATTCTATCTACGTCAACATGGGCAACTTAGCAAGAGCAAATTCTGTCTCAGGAGTAAAAAGGGGGCCGGGGAGATGGCTCAGTGAAATAAGTAGTGCTTCCATGGCAAGTGCAAGGGCCTGAGTTAAATCCCCGGTTCTG